ATAAGAAAGCATATATATCGCCACTATATTCCGGAAAAGATAAGATAATGGTCTTGGACATCAAAAATTTTTAATTAATTTACTTTTTTTATATAATATTTATGTGAAAGTGAAAATAATATATTTATTATATTTTTTATTGATCTAATAACTTTATCAATTTTTTATTTTTTACAATATCTTTGTTTTATAAATATTTTTTTGCTTTATATATCCAATCTGATATGATAATTAGAATTCAATGAATATAATCTTTTAGAATCATCTTTAATTTAGTTTGATCATAATCGTTTCCATTTATAACAACTCCAATGCCCACAATTGATTCATCTAGTTTGATCATATTTATTTCCATTTGGCTTAACAATTCCAGTGTCCATAATCTAATTTATATTTATTAAAGAAAAAAATTAAAAGAAATTTTAAAAGTATTCCTCCGCTGCCACCATGTTACAGGGAATTGTGTATAAATGGAAATTTAATTTTATTAAAAATAATATAAAATTACAATCTTTTTCTATGGTCTAATAAAATATCTATATATATTTTTTTTAAAATTAAGAGTTAATTATTTAATATATTAATAAAAAATCATTTTATAAAATACAACGAATGAATGTAATAAATTACAATTTATGCTATATTCCACCTTAGTATAAATAAAATAATTATATATATATATCCAAATTTAACAAATGTTTAGAGAAAAATTTAATCCAATATATAAATTATTTACATATAATATTATAAATGACATACAAATCTGATAACATACTAGTAGTGCCGGCTACCCAAGTTAGTGTGGAAAGATGTTTTTCAACAATTAGATTTATATAATCTCCTTATAGATATTGTTTGAGCTAGACGATTTTTTAATTGTGTGGCTTAATAAAAAAATTTTAAGTACTTGTTCATATTAAAATTAATCATTGATATTTATTTGTTATATTTTTATATTAAATATTGTGCAATTAATAAAAATGAAGGTTTTATGTATGTGTTTTTTATTTTAATTATGATAAATAAAAATATTCTTCTCTGTATATAATTCGAATGTAGGTTTGAATACAAAAGTGTTCAAACCGGGTTTTAGAGGTTCAAACTGAATCAATATATTAATTTTTCGAACCGACCTGAACCTTGAACCGTTATTTTTATCCGAACCTGAACCGATCCTTGATTTTAATCAATCTAAAATATAAGAAATTTTAAAAATAGCATTTAATAAAAATATTTACATATTCTCTATTATTAAATATTGCTAAAAATTGATTATATTGTTTAAATATTACATAAAATTATTGTGATTAATATCTTAAAAATAAGACAGATAATGTTGATAAATTTCCCTGTAAGTTGGCTAGTGATTCTTGAAATACAATTTTCATATACTTTAATAGCCTAATTACATTATAATATTAATTCATCAAATTTTAATAGACTACTAAATAATTATTAATATTAAATAATTGACCCTTATTAATTTTGTTGGATTTGTATTTTCGTACAATATTGAATAATGTAATATAATAATTACTAAAAAAAATCATTCAAACGGATTAACTGTATGGTTTAGCTAGCCCCACTACTCTAAATTTAATTAATCATAATTGAAATAATATCTAGACATATTAAATACTAGAGACCTGCAGACCCGGTCTTAAGCCCGGCCTGGGTACACGGGCCGGTCCGTATTTCAATTTGTTTTAAATATACCTGGGTTGGCCTGAAAATTTTTTTTAAAAAAATTAACCGGACCGGGTCGTATATTTAAAACCAAATATTTGAAATATTAGCTATAAAAATCAAAAATATATAGTTTATTTTTAAAAAAATCCGGGGCGGCCTGAAAATTTTTTTAAAAAAAACGCGGGCCAGGCCGAAAAAAATGGAAAAAAATCCAGGCCGGGCCGTGCAAATGATACCTCTGCAGCTGATAAATTCTCATAGAACTTTCCAGAATTATAGAAGAATGTTTAAACTTTACTATAAAATTTAATTTACATATAAATGATTCTATATTTTAATAAAAATTAAAATTCTGTCATGTAAAAATCTTTTGAAAATTTCATAAAAATTAATTTTTAATAATTAATTATTTCAAAAGATTTTTTGTCTATAGATGTAAACTAATAAAAACTATATTCGGATAAAATTTTAACCTTCTGGTGTATTTAATTTTATGATATCGTAATTTGTTTACCTAATCGATGGACAATTATGGTTGGTAATATCCTTTATTTTCTTTTCCCCATTTCAGGGAGGGGTAACAATTTTGTTGCTGGGTCGATTTTATCTTTATTCCAACAATTCTATTTTCTTTTTGGGTTTGGACTTAGCAGTGTGTTGGGTCAATTATGTAGAATTAGCACTTATGGTAGATTGGGAAAATGCTGAAATGAATAAAGAATAATTAGATACTTAAAAATTATAAAATTTTGATGATAAATTTGTGGGAATGTTTTAATTATTAAAACTATTATTGGTATCATTGGATAAAATATTATATTAAACATTTTATAAAAATATTAAAAAGTTTTGTGAGAATAATTTTGAAAAAATGTTCAATTAAACCATTTTTCGTTTATTACATAAATGAGGAATATGTATTTATAAGCAGCTCAAACTTATTTATTAACCCCTTGATGGTATTTGTTTTTAATGAAACACCTGTAATCCCGTAATAAGTCTATGTTTATTGCAATTATGCAAATTCTATCCATTTGAGCAGATTTTTAAAAACGGCTAATTCAGTATTTTATCAAGAAAAATATTACTCAAGCTTGAAGATTATGCTCATACATGACACAAAGGTTTGGATATCTATTAGAGAAATCTCAAAGCTTAGATATTTTGGATAAAATATTGAGTTCGCAGTTATAAAAAATCGGCTCAAAGAGATCGATTTTGCATCACTAATTGCAATGTATGTGCACAACCATTTTCTGAAATTGATGACCATGTTTTTTTGATAATTGATATATTTTAATTTTGTCTGAAGTGTTTTTTTAAATAATTTTTATAAGGGTAATAGTTTTTATAAATTACGCTCCACATTTTTTAAATTTTTTTAATTATAATCAGCTTAAAGCCATGTTATTAAAAATTAAATCATTTTAAAACCTTAATTAATCTTTTTAAATCGTAACTGTAAAATTCATAAGCACCTGAACCGTAGCCGAACAGTTAAATCTAAATATAACAATCAGTTCCCTAGTTTTATGGGGAATTTTTATATGTGTTACCTGGGAAATCAGGACTTCGAACCTGTTATAGGAATTCTAGAAATTTTTAATTTTTTTACACAAGTAGTACGCCCATTTAAATTAGGTCTAAGTTGGTCTACCCGAACACTTAAAAAATATATTCAAAAGCCAACTCCTATTTTTTTAAAAATTATGTGCTGGGCTCTAAATGTCAAATACGCTATCTAAATTTATGACATAATTTAATAGTGAAATATATAAAAATATATTTAAAATTATCAAAGTCTAACCAAATAACAATTTAAATTTAAAATAATTTCATCAATACAATAAATATTATTTGCTTATTAAAAATTTATAATAAAAGATTATTCTAAATTTAAGACAATGGCGTCGCTAATTCTCCTCTCGTCATAAAGCGCGGTAAAAAAAATATATTCTCTTGATTTAGGCATGCACATAAGGAACGCTCAAATATAATTGCTTTTTTGAGCGCACTCGAATAAAATTTTTGATTATATTATAGTTTCAGCTAAAATATTAAGTTATTGTTAGTATAATTTTACCAAGATAAAAAAGAGTATTAACTCCTAAAATAATGTTTTTATATGTATCTTATCGAATTATATACCATGTCGACTTATTTGCATAAATTATAGTATATTGACACGCAATTATTATTTTTTTATATTTCAAAATGACATTTAAAAATTTTATTTTAATGATATTAATATTATAATAGTTTTTCTTATTTTAAAGTTTTATAAATCGGTATCAAGCATGAATCATTATATATATTGGAGCCTAAAATTATCGATACTATTATTTTTGGCATATGTGACAATCATAAAAATCGTACCTTTATACGTTCAATATCAGGCCCTTATATCTCATAAAAATGCTGAAGAAAATTCTATTCGTCAAATGGATAAAATTCCAGATGAATACGAAATACAAAGAAACCAATATCTGTTGAAAAATAAGAATGGAATATATCCCTTCCAATCTGATGTAAAATATTTTGTATAATTTATAAATTATAACATACCCTTTACAGAATTTTCCATTCAGAAAGGAAAAGGAGCGATCTAAAGGAAAAAGTTCGGTCAAAAAAGGAAAAAGGCTAATAAAAATTAGACTAAACAAAGTCTAAAAAAAAGGTCCTATCGAAAATATCCATCAAATAAGGAAAAGGTCCGATCGAAAAAGGAATAGGGTCAATCAAAAAGAGAAAAGGTCATTCGAAAAAAAGGAAAAGGTCAAATCGAAAAAAGGAAAAGTCCCACATGAGAATATTAAGATTAAATCGAATTATTTTTAAAATAATTTGGAGAATTCTTTTCGCTAATTTTATTTTTTAATTTTGTTATTTATCTTAAATCTCCTGATGTAATTTCTTTTTCGTTATTTTTAATCTATTTCCATATTACTTTTAATTATTACTACCATTTCAATTTATTTTATCTTTCAATTTTCTTATTATTTTTTTAAACTTTTTTGTCTACCATAATTATTATAATATATATTTTTAAATTATTTTATATTATTTTCTTTGTTACCTTTCTCAATATTTTTTTTGATCATTCTTTTTCTATTTTTTAATTATATAATTTCAAAATGTCTTTTAATTTCATATCATTTTCTAAATATCGTATTAAATGTTCTTCCTTTATTTGCTATCGCCTTTCTAATATCTTAACTTCTTACAATTTTTTAGATTTTCTTATTTTCTTATTTTTTTGATATTTTCATAATTTTAATATTTTTCAATTATATATTGTTAGATAACTGAAGAGTCCATTGAAATGACTAAAAAAAAATGCATGAAATTATTTCCAGTATTGGTAAGTTCACATAATAAATTATACCGATATGCTTTATATAATTTACAAAGCATTTTTTGTAATTTTTAGGGTATGGTAAACCTTAGGCCATTTCCAAGCAGAACGCTTTTTTCAAAGCATTTTTTTGTTTTTTATTAACGTTTTAATAGTGTCTGAGGCACAGTTATGTTTTTTTAAAAATATTATATTATATTTAAAAAAATTAATTCGACATATTATTATCCTTGGTTCGAAAATAAATTTTTTTTAGCAGAAACATACCCCAAAACCTCCGAAGAAACGTTTTGTTTGGGAATGACTTTATAGTATTGTAAAAATTATATATTATACTATTATTTCATCAATTCTTTAAATAAAATCATCAAAAATATACATCTTTACAAATAGAAGCATGAGCAATTAATATTCAAATATATTTAAAAATTTTCATTATAAAAAAAGCTACTTTGTTCCAGATATATAAAAATCATTTAAGATCTCGTCTAAAATATAAAGATGGATCAACAATTTACTTAAAATCGCAATAGTAAAAAAAATTTAAGATTTTTGGTAACATTTATAACTTTAACTCGATCAAATAAAAAGAATACTTAAACTTTATAATTATGGTGGTTCGGGCAATTATTAACATTTATACAGTGTCGCTCGATTATTGGATGTCTCCAGTTGTGTTTTTGTTCAAATGGAGATATTCGACTTTTAAGTTTCAAAATAATTATTCTTGCTAAACCTACTGACCAAATTCAAAGAAAGTTTGGGATACTGCATTAGAATTAATTTTTATTATTATTAATTTTTTTTATTGTCTTTCGAAACTCTCAAAATGCATTTGAAACAAAGATAATTAATTAATAACCAAATAATTTGTCATATTGCTCCAGATGACTTTTTTAAAATTTTATATTTTTTTAATCTTCAATTAATTATTAAAGATGAATAATATATTTTTAACATTATAAAAGCATATTTATATAACATTATTGGCAATTTAATTAAAAGATTTCGGAAATGAATATATAATACAGAGACCTGCAGAGTTACCGTTTGTGGCCCTGCCCAGATTTTTTTTTTTAGATTTTTTTGGCTCGGCCCGGGTATATTAAAAAAAATTAATAAAGGGCCTGATTTAGGGCCGGGTACAGATCTCTGAAAAAATAAAATTTGAATGCTAAAATTGAGATACATAAATTATTCCTCCTAATAAATCATTGTTTCTAGCATCATTTATTCACTTCTAGCATATAATATTAATTGGATTATTAAATAAAGTAGAGTAACATAAAGAGTATTTAAATCATGTAAATTAAGCAAAGTAAATCGATATAACTCTGTCAAAACCTAATATATTTATTCAAATTAAACATAACACTATCCATTTATAAGTCTACCTAAATTTCTTCAAAAATGTCAATGGAGGCACTCCAATAATCAAGCGACGATAGGTAAGTATCAGCAGTATCGGTATAAAATACCTTAGCCCCCCCCCACACCCATCATTTAGGATTTTGGAAATAAACCCTATAAGTAAGTTGATTTATAAAATATAATAAATAGTTGTCAAAATAATGGTTTTATAGAATATAGAATCTGGCCTTACATTTATAAAGTGTCAAAGTATATAGGATTGGTGTAAATAACGCCCGTAATTTATAGGCACGATATATAGATTCATTTTTTACATTAATTCTATTCAAGGATGGGAGGCCTCGCGCCATTACAAGTGTAGAGCCGTGCGAAAATTTTTCGCAGCTCAGAGCGACCTTTAACCCCAATTTACCTAAGCTTAAGAATCATAAAATAACTACTTTCGTCTTTTTTTAACTGGGATTCGTGAATACACTACTTAGAATATGAAATAGGTAATATTTGTAATACCACCTTCGCATTCCGTTCTAAAATCGACTGTATTCGCGTTTAACGTTCATTTACAAAAAAGGAGAGCATTTAAATTCGGCAACGCGTTTACTCAAATATATGTTAGTGTTTAATTTGTTTTTCTGGCAATATGTTATTTTAACAACTTTTAATCATTTTTTGAGTGCGTTTATAAAAATCTGATTTTACCGGAAATGTATTCCATCATGTTTGGAATACCTGCCCGTCATTTACAATTTATATAAAAAATATATGAAAAATCGAATATAAATTAAATTAAGTTCAAAAGTTCATAGAAAAACTGTCTGAAATTCATAGGGTAGGTATTCCAAACATGATAGAATGCATTTCTGTAAAATCAGATTTTTAAATTTAAAAAGCGCTCAAAAAATGATTTAAAGTTGAAAAAATAACACGTTGCCGGAAAACACATTGGCGCTAACATATAAATATTTTTTTTTTTAAATTAAAATAAATGTTAAATAAAATCAAGTTATCCGTTGTATTTAATATTTAAAAATATGAAAACATAATAAATTATGGGATTTTAAAAGTATTTCTATTGCTATTAATGTTTAATAATCAATTTACAAAAATTGTGCCTGATATGGAAGAGAGGTTAGCAATTAAAACGGAATTTTTGAGTTAAAAACGTGTTTACAATGGCTGAAATTGGGGTTGTGTTATATACTATATTTAATAAATAAGGATTTTATTCAATAAATTTATTAAAGATTTTTTGTTTTTCTCATTCATTTTAAAATTTATTGACAATAAATCCTCTTCTAAATTTATAAACGGATTCACTGTCAAAAAAAAGGAGATTCAGAATTGATATTTTGTCCAGCTTCTTTAATTATAGGTTTTTCAACAAATTTCTTTAAATAAGATATGTTTATTTTTCCTCATTTCGTTTTGTAGAAACCTTATCCAAAACCCGAGCTTAATATCGGATATATATATAATTAACCATTTTTAATTAAAAAGAAGCAGATTTAATTTAGCCAAAAAAATCATAGTCTTTTCAAAATAGTTACACAATAATTTTATTCTAATAGAATTCCGGTAAAAGCAACAACAGCATTGCTGTCAACATGTTGGTTGTGAAAAATGTGCGTGCTTCTGTATCAACAATGAAATTTTTCAGATTCTTTCAAGAGTAAAAAATATATGTTTTATTATATCCAAGATAATATAATGAACATATTAATTGCGCTAGGATTAAATTTGTATGTATTATTTGCAGTGCTGTAAATTAACTTTGATAAAAGTAACGTCGCTACTAAGCACGTTACATTTCCTAAGGAAAAGGAACGTCAGTCTTTTTTTGTTTTAAAAGGTAACGAGTAACGCGTTTATTTCTTATTGTATTGCTTGAGAATCGTAACGCAAAATGTTATTCATTACCAGGGTTGCCATGTCTCCCCCCATCAGCGGGGGACTCCTGCAATTTTTTGTTTACACGCAGACATCTCTCTCCCGCATAACTACCGCAATTAGAAATCTCCCGCAAAACTACCGCAATTTTTTAATTTCTCCCGCAATTTTTTTTTAGTATTTTAACATTTTTAATATATAAATAATAATTTTGAGAGACATTAATTGATGATTTTTATATTTTTAAAATAATTTTAAATATTTATTCGAAAAACTTTCTTTCTATCCTGTTTTATTTTTATCCAATAATAAATCAACATCATTTCATTCATATAAGTCAGTACAGGGGAGTATATCAACATCGATGCAATACAAAAATATTCTCAAATAATAAATAATACAGATGCAACTACATTTGCGGAAATCGTATACATCTATCATGTAGTTCGACATTCACAGAGCTATATCATCACATTGTGGGTCGAATCTTTTTCTCATGATATTTAACGACTCCAATATAAGTGCAAACCTTACTTGTGGCAGAACAAAAATGGGCAAGGCTATCACAAGTGTTTTAGTACCTGAATCCTTGAGGTCAATTCTAGACGATTTGAAAGATGGGCATCCATATTCAATTTTAATAGATGCATCTAATAAGGGAAATATTAAAACATTTCCCTTGATCCTTCGCTATTTCAAGAAGAATAAGAACATTTCCATAAAACTGTTAAAATTTTTTCCTCGGATAGTGAAAAATCTAACGATGTAGCTAACCACATAATGGTAAATATAGCTGATTCAGGGTTATCAATGGTTTACATGTCAGCTTTCTGCTCTGATGATGCCTCTGTAAATTTTGGCAAAAACCAAAGTTACCTAATTGAGGCAGCACAATAATAAATTAATACCAATTAGCTGTATATGCCATATACTACATAATTATTGCAAGAAGGCAATAAATGTATTATCGGTGGATGTCAAAATAATTGTGATGAAATGTTTTAACGAATTTAGTCATCAACTAAAAGAGTTAATGAATTAAAAGAGTTGGTGAAGTGGTCTGAGTTGTTGCGATATATACCTATAAGGTGGTTGTCATTAATACCTGCTATCGATAGAATTTTAAAAACAAACCCTTATAAAAATAGTTTTCTTAAATAAAGATTTTAAAAGCTGTCCTAAAATTTTTAAAAAAATTTTCGAGTATGAAATGGCAGAGGCATATTTGGGATTCGTTTCACGTGTAGGAAATCTACTTCATGCAGTTAATATTCAGTTGCAATCAGAATATTCTTTATATAAAAGATTCATAAAATCATGCTACAGCTCTGTTCATCTCTACAGTTAAAAATTGATAATAAATTTTATGGCGCTATTGCCAAAATTATTATATTAAAATGTTCAAATAATACTCTAATTAATACATTTTTAAATGAAGCAGATATTTTTATTAAGACAATTTTAGAATATTTACAATCAAAATTTGATTTTAATAACTCTATTTACAAATGTATAAATATTATGACCTTGGAACAGAAACCATCAATTGATGGTTTTTATAATTAATAAATATATTAAAAATACCGAAAGACATTGATTTCTTGTTTGAGGAATATTTTTTATGATTCGCCAAAATACTTAAAGTTAGATGGTCTAAAAGCAGAGGAGAAATGGGAAGAATTTTTTCGTAATAACGATAAATCCCCATGCCTGGGAAAAATATGCGTATGTCTTCTCCTTACCTCATTCTAATGCCTCATCCGAGCGCAATTGAAGCCTGATGAGGAATGCCTGGAAAAAGGAGAGAAATAGGATTGCTTTAACAACATTAGAGACCGAACTAATGATTAAACAAATATATAATATGTCATGCCAGTAATTTTATAAATATCTCAATAACGACGGTAAACATTTAGTTCTATTATTTAAATCTCAAATAAAATATAATTAAGTTTTAGCAATGGCGCCATAAAATTTATTGTCAATTTTTAACTGTAAAGATGAACACATCTGCAGCATAATTTTGTGAATCTTTGTTAAGATTCTTCTGATTGCAACTACACATTAACAGCATGTAGTAGATTTCCTACACGTGAAATCATTCCTAAATATACCTCTGCCATTCATTATTGAAAAAAATTTTCAAAATATTAGGACAGCTTTTATAATCTTTATTTAAAAAATATTTTTTTAAAGGTTTATAAAATTTTAAAATTCCGATGGCGGGTATTAGGAACATATCGCAACCAACATTGTGCTGACTCAATCTGTAAATACACTCTGTTTTTACCAAATTCACTGAGGTATTATCAGATCAGAAAGCTGACATGCAATTTATGATAATCTCGAATCTGCTATATTTACCATTATATGGTTAGCGTCTTTGGATTTTTCGCTATTTGAGGGGAAAAAATTTAATAGTTTCATTGAAACGAACTTAATTTTGATGAAATAGCGGAGGATCAAGGGAGGTATTTTAATATTTCCCTTATTAGAAGCATCTGTTAGAATTTCATATGTATGCCCATTATTCAAATCGTCAAGAATTGACCTCCTGGATTTAGATCCTAAAACATTGATGATAGCCTTGCTCATTTTTGTAGTTTTCATTTATATTAGAGTCGTTAAATATTATGGGAAAAGAATTCTACCAACATTGTGATGATAAGTATCTCTGTGAATGTTGTACTATAAGATAAGTGATTACAATTGCCGCTACTGTAGTTTCATCTGTATTATTTATTATTTTGGGAGTATACCTTATTATGTATTTAAACGTGATACGTGATAAAGCGCCTATCCCTATAATGTTATATACACACACTGTAGATTTCCAATTGCGGTCGTTTTGCCAGACATTCGCATAAAATATATTTTTAATTGTAAAATTAAAATCGTTTTTTTTTATAAAATTCTTGTTTACATTCATTTATATTTAAAAAAGATCGTTGGTTTTTTTTTATAAATTAATATATTTTAATAAATCAAGATGTTATTTTATTTTATTTTGAAAAATAATTACCGACTTTGTATTTATATAAACTAAATAAAAAATGATAGGCGCCCGCAAAAATTTTTTTTAGCAATTTTTATATTTCTACCGCAAATTTTATATTACTCTCGCATAATACCAAATTTCTTCCGCAATTTGAAAATTTTGACCTGGAAACCCTGGTCATGACATGATTATGCATAAATTTAAAATTATTAGGCGTGACGGGCCTTCCCAATTTTTTGCCGGGCGCGGGTATAAACTCCTCGTAAATCACGGAAATTTTAATTTTCAAAATTGTTTTTTTGTGAATATAAGTTTGCAATTATAATATTTTATTAATATATATTTTCTAATTTAATTTAGTTCTTTTTGAAAAAAGAATAATTGTTAAAAACAAAAAACTTCCGCATTTTATAAACAACATTAATGAAAAAGGATATTTCTCTCAACTCTCATAAAGCTATAGAAATTTGGGAAAAATAAATTTAATTGAAATATTTTTATTTTGATTTATTTTTACTATATATATAAGTTAACCCAGAAGAAGAAGCTGTTCTACAAACAAAATTTGTAATAATCTTTCTCTTAAAATATTTTTCATCTGAATAGCCCAGTGTCGTCACTAACCTTTACAATTTCAGGGGGTTCCAAATTTAAAAAAACATTTTTTTTACAATTTTTGAGAATGGCTCATTAGTTTAATTAATAATTCTATATAATATTAAGCAAAAAAAAATCTTGTTTGTATATATAACTATACAATTATTTAAGACAAGTTATGTGAAAATAAACTTAGATATGTTATTTTATATTGGCTGTGATGACTTAGATGCTGAAATACACTTTTTTTTGGAAGGCAGAGTAGACATTTAACACTAATATGGAAATCCAAAATATTTTTCGAGACTTGACCAAGGTGTTTTTACATTTAATTCCGTTGGTTTGATAATTGTAAAAGGGTCGCAATGCAATACGACCAGTAAATCCTAACAACAATGTAAACAATACATGGGCACTAGTTTTGTCGGCAGCTTGCTGTATCTTCCAAAATTTATCAATATTTGGTTTTTAGTAAATCGTCTCTATTATTAAAATTTGTATGAATTGAACATGCAACAATAAACGACAAAAAGGTAAACTTAAATTAATAATATAACTTTAAAAAAATTTACACATTGCCCTATATAAATTCTTCTAAAAAAAATGTAAGTTTGATAGTAATAAAATAAACTTACTATTTTTACCATATTTTACCTCTATTGCGATGTGTAAAAATATCTGATCTTATAAGATACATTTGTATGAACTCTGTTTTTTAAATTAATAAATGTAATGCATCTCATATGATGATTTTAACTGACGAAGAAATAGCCCAGTCTTAAATCTAACCCCCTCATCTAATTAAATTTTTAAATAAAAAGTTTAGCGAAACTGCTCGAGACCAGGCACTGCTACACCCCCCCCCTTCTCCAGCCAATGCCGATATTACCTTCTATTGCCCTAAGCAAAAAAAGGAATCTTTGGAAAAAAGAAAAGCAAAGGAAATCAATTCTTATCCATTATAACTTATATTTATTATGACAATTTTTCAACTACATACCCTCCTTCAATTTCAATGACAATCTTGTGCCATAACCCCCCCCCCCCCCGATAAAAGTGCCTGAAGATATCTGGCCTCTATGCCAATAGTGCTTCAAGACAGATACAAGCATAATCAAGTGTTTTATATGATTCCAATTTAATGCAAAGTTTTAGAATTTTTGTTTCGAGTATTTCCGCCTCTATCAAACTTTATTTGGAAAGAAACAACTTTTTAAAAATAAATATCGTATTTTTATTTTTAAAAAAATCAAAAAAATCCCAGGGGAAGGCACCTGCTACTCCTTATGCCGACAAGGCGACGTTTCCATTTTTAAGTTTATAGTCTATTCATAGTTTGAGTTGACATGTAATAATTAGGGAAAATTATGCTTATTTGATCGGTAATTTATTTATTTTGTACATTTCACAAGTTACGCAAATAATTGGGATTATGACTGCAAAAATGCTCAAAGAATAGGTAACAAAGGTAACGGAGGTTGGTTCATGTGCATGGATCCAAGCTATATTCCAAAATCTCCATGCATCGTATATTCATTTGGGTAAACATGCTAATTTAAATATTTGGAAAAAAATAAAAATCTATTTATTAATTATATTTTGTATCAAAGAATAGGCAACGACTGGTCTTTTGATGATTCCGTATCACGTATGTTTAATTGCGAAGTACACGCTTTCGATCCAACCATAAAGATTAAATCTCACATGAGGGATAATAAAATAAATTTTCACGCATTAGGATTAAAAGATTTTGATGAATACGATTTTAAAGACGAAAAAAAGGCTTATCTTACTTTACCAAGTATTATGAAGCATTTAAATCAATCAGATCAGGTCATAGATTACCTCAAAATAGATATAGAGACTTGGGAATGGCCTTCTTTAAACGCTTTAAGTGATAGCAATTTCTTACGGTACAAGGTTAAACAATTAGTAGCCGAATTTCATTTTTACGGTAAAAATGGATTAGGTTATATGCAAAGTGTGTTAATTAAGCTAAAAAAGAATGGCTTGAGACTTTATAAATCTAAAGCGAATCCCGGATGCAAACTAACGCAAGTCGGAGTCTTTGTGTATTTTAATTGTTTCGAACTACATTTTGTGAATATCAACTTTCTTAAAAATATTCCAACCACTTAAAAAAAACTTATTTAATATTAAAAAATAACTTTAAACGTTCTCTTATGGGTTATAAAACGTTTTTGGGTTGTTTAAAATATCGAATGTATTTTTTAATGTAGCCAACCCTATAAAAACTTTTTAAACTTAGTATATTTATTGGTATAAAAAGATCAAGTATATCATCATGTTAAATTGTAATAAAATATGTATGGAGACTATTTTGATACAAATAAATATATTATTATTCATTAATATAGAAATTTAAGCGAATGAAAATTTAACATTTACATAAAATGTATAACTAGCATCAATACATTTTTTAAAATGTTTTCTTGTGCAATATTCTTTCCCCTTCTGCAAGATATTCTCGCTTGGTTATCCATATTTTTTTGAATGTGTCTAATGATGCTAATATTGATCCCCTGTACAAGATAAAAAAAACAAATGTATTTTAATTAATTTTTCCACTGTTTAACTTTAAAAGTAAACCCATGAAATCGGAAATTGAAGGATTTTTTTGCTTTTTTTTCATTGCTGGTTATTGCCTATCTGATAGCATCTTACTCCATTCAATTCTACCCAAGTATTTTACATCCCTTTCCTCTTTCTATCAAATGCGTGGGTCTTCCACTTTATTTTTTAAAAACATTTATATACCGCTCACTAAACTACATACATTAATCTCACACTTTTTCCGAATGGCTAAACTATAATATATTCTTTTGTTTATTTGAAGCATAACTATGTTTCTTAATAGCGCATAACATTATCTCAAAATCCCTAAATCTATCGATTTAAGGCTATATTGTTTCTTTTTTTCTTATAGAACAGGCCTTTTAATTATATAAAAATTGTTTTATAAAGTTTACCTTCTCATTTTAATATATATATTTTTATAATATAGTACTCCACTCAAATATTACAATTTCATATATCCAGAATCAATCCTAACTTTTACTCTTAAGCCAACTTCTGATTGAAGTGTAGTTCAATGTTTAACAATTTATGTTTTTTTATTTTCGAATTTGATTAGTCAAGGTTGGTCAGGCTAGCCATAAAAGCTTCGAACTATATTTCGGCTTTCTGCCATTGACAGGTATAATTTAATGGAGGGATGGGGGCAAAAAATTTTGTAATAAGAGGAATAAAATATTCAGTACGAATAAACAATTATAGTTTTTATTAATCAACAATTTTAGTAATTTCTGGAATTTAGTTTTAATTAAAGTACGAAAACAGTTCTCACATATCTTTTTTATTCCAATAAAAATTGTCTTCCAAGTTTAACTATTCATAAAGTAAGTTTGTAGTTTTTGATAAGACCAAAAAAGTATAAACTTTTTATTTTAATTATTTATCGGTTTAAATTTTATTCCAAATTAAATAATTTCATACCCTATCCAAGTTGAGTATAAGCGTTCTTTAGGAGCTGAGATCTATATAATATTTAAAATCTAATTAAAAATATTTAATTTGGGGTGTCTAAATATAATTTATAGAGGCCCTCTAGAACAGTGAGTGGTGATATGACACAATTAGTTCATTAATTTTGGCGGAAGGGGGGGGGGGGATAGTGCGTATTTTAGTTTTGGGGGTTTTGGTTTTTCAATTATAGTCATTATAGAGCGATACCCTACCTCAATTTAAAAAAATTAATTTTTTCGAATAAAGATTTCTATTCTTAGTTATTATAACTTCCTCTCGGAAAATATGAGCAGATAGATTATATATTTTAATCTGTCAAAGGCTTATTTTTTCTATAGGATTAAAATAGGTTGTACACATAGTAAATTTACGATACCTTTTAAGATTTTTTTAACAAAGTATTTTCATGTATTAAAGAAGAACAATAAAGAGTATATAAATTAAAAATATTTATAAAAAAGTATGTAATACAGTCGGTTATGCTATATATTTTTAATATTATTAATATCGATAACTTTAATATAAAAAATTAAAGTTATCGATATATCTCAAAAATAATAAATATTCCAATTGATGAATTTTTATATTATAATATAGAAAAAAATGAATAAGCATCTTTTAAATTACTTTAATAAGAATTAATGTATAAGATTTATAAAGAATTTTAAAAAAATCGCAAATGGTGCAGAATAATCTTGATGACTTAGATATATTAACTTTTCGTGAAAATGATCAAAATTTACTAGTAAGATTCAATTCTTTAGGGCGTGCTTTATCATTGGATATGTAGTTTCCTAAAATAATGTCAGTATTTTGTACTGCGCGCCTCCATATGTTTGTCTCAATTTTATTAATTTTTTATATAATGCATTATTTCACTTATCATTTCATCTGACATGCGATTATCAGTCTTTAAAATTCATAAAAGAACTAATATACATCACTCATACAGTTTCATAAATTTTACAAATCTCTTTTTATATTTCCAAATTTCATCAAGTTTTAAAAAAGTTGGAAGTATGGAAAATACCTTTTGTAATTTTTACGAAAATGACTTGGAGGGATACAGTGGGTTTCGATCCCAATTTATATTTTTAGAATGAAGGGATAGTGTCGAATAGTGTTGGTAAACGGCCAGATTTTTAAAAATAACTCGCCTAAAATTAAACCAAAAGATATAATGCAAGTCTGGGGAGTATACTTATAGAAGGTAGAAAGGCTTAGGCATCTATTAAGTTAAATCAAAATTGGCAAATCGAGCCTTTTAACAACACAAGTGTTGAAGAAGGAAGGAGTAGAAACCGCAGCTAAAATTAGGGGGTAGTCTTAAAGGAAGGTCTTAACGTCATCGGTTTATTGGTAGCATAGAGGGCCGTTTTATGAAGACTTAAAATATAGGTTTAGTTTAGGTTATAAAATTTCATTATTTTTTAATATTGTGGAAAAATTAAAAACTTAATTAATAAAACGATCATTTTTCGGTTTATTGAATAATCTTAAGAAATGGTATAGTGTAAATAAAAAAAATATACTATTACCCTGATTTTAACATCCTTAGGAGCCATGGATTTGACTTCATTGAACAACCTTTCACCAAAACCTAAATATTTTAAGGTTATAATTAGTGTTGTTAAACGGCTCGATTTGAGCCGATTTTTAAAAACGGCTAACTCAACATTATAGCCAGGAAAATATTGTCTAAGCGTCGAGATTTCGCCAATAGATGTTCAATACTATGTGCCACCTATGAGCAAAATCTCTAGGTTTTCATAATATTTTTCTGGCAAAAATATTGAGTTAGCCGTTTTTAAAAACACTAGTTATAATATACGAAATAATTTGTATAATACCCATAAACTATATAATTTATTACATAAACACAACCCAAATTGTTCATGGTTGATAGAATTAATGTTGTTAAATAATCTAACTTTTATGAACTCCAAAACGGCCTTGTCATTTTTTCCTAAAAAATTAGTTCAATCTTCAAGTTGAAACTCAACTTAGAGGTTTAAATCAATTTTTTAGGCTAAAAGCTTGGCTAAGAAGTTGGTCAAAGTTAGGTGATTTAACAACGATAGAATCCAATCGTCAGAATTGTATAATAAATGATTACTGTAAATACCAAATAAATATCTAATTTGCTCAGACCAAAAGCTATTTTTTATAATTATTTAAAAACAAAAAACTAAAACGTGTAAAACCAAAAAAATTATTTAAATTTTTTTAATACATACAATTTAAAATATCAAAAAAAATGGTTTTCTGTGACTTATATTAGTGAGTGTAAATCACCTTTAAAAAGTGTAGAACCCCCGGATAAAACAATGTTTTGGTATAACAATTTGCGTAAATCTAAATCGGATTTCTGGATGGAATATATGAGAAGTTCGTGAATCCCTGGATACTCTTCGCCTAATAGTTCGGGTTTGAAAAGTAATTCGGGAGCTCTGTATCTAGATGGACCCACCTTTTAAACATACAAACATATAAAGTATATAAGATAAAAATGACTCATCATCTTGGCCATAAAGTGACTGACAAGAAATGCGAAGATCATTTTAAACTTTAAAGATTAGGCCAAGGCCTAAGAGAGAGAAACCAATGTGGTTTAGACAATAATTAAGAAAACCTTAATTCGCGACCCAGAATTTGACACATTTAGTACTTTTCCGAATATTTAGTTATAAATTAATCAGGACGTGGAAATAAAAATGAATCTGGTTTAAATGAAATTTTTATATTTCAACTAAACATAATTATCTAAATTTATCACTTAAGAATCACTTGCCATATAAAAATATAATAATAAATGATGGATGATAGAATACAGTGAGTCGTGAATTGATAAAAAATTTGAACGGCAAACCAATGTTGGCGAATATTGAAATATTATTTAGGATCGCCTGTGCGATGGATAATTTTTCCTACTATCATTTTCAGAAAGGAAAGGTTTCCGAGGGTTGATGTGATAACAGGAACGAATTTAATATTGTTTACCGAAAGAGTTTTCGTGGGTGTTATATATAGACCATTTTAAAAATAAATTCGAGCCGGGTCGGGCCCAAATTTTGAAATATAATATTATTCAGCATAATATTGATAAATTTAGTTATATATTTTAGAATTTTTTCCTAGAAACAAGGCGCCTGTTGAAATGATACATTTACCGTAAAGTAATATTTTTTAATATTATAGATTAACTTAATAGATTTTTAGTTAACACTTCGAGCGACCAACTTAAAATTGTTAACATTGTAAAAATGATTGTTTCATTATTTTATATTAACATATTAAATAAAATAAATATCATATATAAAAGGATGATGAATTGGAGAAAAGGGAATGATTTTAAAATGTAAAAATGTAATTCATGATTAAACAAATGTTTATGATTTGAAGAAAAGATTTTGAATTTGAATAAAACATTGTAAAAAAAATTTTATTTACTCATCCACATTCTCATATATATTACATGGTGGCCAAGCAAAATTCTTTCACGATTTTATTTTCTCCGAAGCAAATATAATGCTCATATCGAAATAAAATTCCTTAACGATGGATGCAACGAATAATTCCACCTATATGACCGAATTGGTCAAGTTAGGTTTTCCTAAATTTAGTAGCGATGACAGCGCCTATATAGGGAAATTGCTAAATTTCTTCGATACAAAAAAGATTTCCAACGAGGAAAAGGTCGCTTTGTTTCTTCAAAGTTTACCTGACAACGAGTTTAACAACATTGGTGCAATCTGTACGGAGGCAGACCTACAAGACCCAATAGCTCTTCTTGGCTAATTCAAACTTCAACATCCTTCAAAGACCGAGAATGCTAAACTTCCGCATTCTATGCTGCCATGCAAGGCAAGGAGGAGATTACAGCATGGGCTACGCGCATAGCCAGACTCAATAAAGAATACAAATTTGGTGGCATTCAACGTTACATTGAGAAGGTCAGAGTGGCTACGATTTCCAAAGAGATCAGGAGAGCGGTTATGAGCTCTATGACCATAGAAGAAGAAGACATATATAATCTAGGTCTGGAGGAAGATATCAGGAAGCCAAATGATATCAAGGTCATGGTGAAAGTAGAAGCCATACATTCAATTGAATCATCTAGAATAAAAGAGGAGATAAATTACATGGGCAGAGCCAAGAGTAGCTAAGAGACCGGGAAACCCAAATAGGACTCTAATGCACATCGTACTTGTAAAAATTGATGTTTTAACAAGCAACCTCGCTAATGTATGACAACCACTAAGAACCGTTTCGAAGGACGACATGACAACTGCCGCTACAAACGTTTAAACGGACGCCACGACAACTGATGAGACAAACATTGAGATGAACGCTATGATATTCGTCATGACAACTGTTTCGATCAACGCTATGATAATCATCATGACAACCGCAACCCTTTCGACAACCGCCATGATGATCTATACGACAATCGCGGGTACAACTACTATGACAACCGCCACGACTGTCGTTTTGACCATAGTCAAAGTCATGATCAACGCGATGATTACTATAGAGGCGAAAATCGAACAACTACCCACGTCGCGGTCATTTTAGATATATCCCTCAAAATAGCAATGGTTTTCCTAAATATTCGCTTGGCTCAACCATTACAACAATGACAATCATACCAATAACAGATCTTATGACTATAAGGATCGTACTTTTCAATCGAATACTAACAATACTATGAACATCGAATAAATCGATGATGGGGATGTCTCAAACACCAACGTCAAAGAGTACAATTTTCAGAGTCTAGATGTGAACAATCTGGGGGTTAATGCCACCAGATATAATTGATGCAAGTGGACCCCGGCACCAGGTACGCGATATTATCGAGGCACACAGCTAAGGCTGTAGGAATAGCTACGACACGCCTAACAGGGTACGACGGCAGCGTTATCGAGACATAGGTTTAGCCAATGTTAACATGAAGTTTGAAGGAAACATACAAACGCTGGAGGCCATAGTGGTAAAAAGTGATAAGTGCCCCTAGTTAATACTGTATGGTTCCACGCCTTCATTAATATATTTAAAACATTCATTGTGGGTAACGTAGACGATGATCTAGAGAAGGCGATCTCGACAATGAAAAAAGACCTTAAGTCAACACGCTCCAACGAACCCAAAATGATCAGGCAAGTGAAGATTCACCTGAAGCATGACGCTGTGCCTAGAATCATACCCCCTAGGAGAGTGCCATATGCCAGGATCGACGCAATGACTCATGAGTTAGACGTCTGGCTAAAACATAATATCATAGAGCCTGTACCTCAAGTCATATGGACAAGACCGCTGACACCTGTTTTCAAGAAAGATGGCAACATGAGATTGTGCGCGGACTTCAAAGACACCATAAACTATGCTCTAGAGGGTATCAAATACCCAATACCGCGCATAAACGATCTGCTGCAAAGTTGACTAAGGATAGGAAATTTACTAAAATAGATTTTAAGCAAGCTTTTCTGCAGATTCCAATATATGAAGACTCCAGGGATTAACTCATGATTCATCAAGCTACCGTTCGGCTTGAAAACAGCTTCAGCTATCTTCCAACAAATTATGGACCAGATATTCGGCGACCTTAAAGATGTCATTTTCTATATTGACGATTTTCTTATTACTGGTAGTAGCGACGAAAAACATATTGAGAACATCAAAAAATTATATGAAAGAATTCGTAAGAACGAATTAACGCCTAACTTTTGTAAAAGATAATTCATGAATGAATCAGATTCTTAGGCCATGACATCGACTCAGAAGACATACATTCGAATAATGACAAAATCGAAGTAATAACCAGCATGCCCGAACCAAAATCTAAAGAAGAGCTTGCCACGTTCTTGGAAATGGCCAGCTATTATTGAAAATTTCGACAACCTAGCTACCGTTGTACAAAATAGTGAATAAAGAAAAATGGTCTTGGGACGAAAGTCACAAAAAAAGCTTCAACGAATGGAAATTGTCATTAGTCAACCACCAACGTTAAGCTTCTTCCCCAACCTGCCTATTGGCATCGCGGCAAACGCATTCAAACAAAGACTGGGAGCATTGCCATTTCACGTAGAAGAAAATGGTAAGGAAAGGCCTATAGCTTTTGCCTCGAGATCGTTGTTGAAGGCTGAGGTCAACTATACTAATATAGAGCGAGAAGCAATGGCAATAATCTTTGCCGTAGATATTCCAAGAATATCTTATTGGGATGAGGTTTACTATAATAACGGACCACAAACCGCTACTATACACTTCACTAAAGGTTTAAAGGATAACACCGCCATCTCAATGAGACTTCAAAAATGGAACATTGCGATGGGGGATCACAATTACAAGATAGTCCACAGATCGGGCAAGCTCAACGTGGTAACCGACTTTATCCAGATTTCCTCTAGCTGCGGACAATGAAGATGTGCACGTGATGGAAGATGAGGAGCTATGGGATATACCGAAAGTTCGAGAAAGTAGCTCTAGAGACTCAAAACGATAGAGATCACGGACGTCGTTAATGATATAAGAAAGGGCGAAGTCATACAAAACAAAACTTACAGGTTCATGGAAAACAGATTGAGTATAATAGCTAATTGCCTTTACAACGAATCAAAAGTGATCATACCATTCAGCATGAGAAAATCAATGATGCAGGAATTGCATAGAGGGCATTTGGGAGCACACATGACAAAACTATTGGCCAGAGACTATATTTGGTGGCCCGGCATCAACATAAACATAGACTAAAGAATTGTGATTCATGCAATGAATGGACAGACAATTCAAAAAAAATACAACACGCATGGATTTCCTAATAAACCCTTTGAAAGGGTGCATATCGATTACGCAGGGCCGTTTCTTCAAGAATATTGGTTGGTGATAATGGACGCTTACAACAAGTTCCCCATCATAAATCGATGAACTCTATCATGGCTGGACAGACTGTCATCGAATTGATGCAACCCATAAGCTTGTTTGGATTACCTGAACAAATTTCGACGGATATTGACATAAACTTCACCTGTAAATTATTCGAAAAGCAAAGATCACGGGATAAAGCACACAGTGACGTCAGCATATCATCAGCAATCTAATAGGCTGGCGGAAAGAATGATAAGGACATAAAAAACGCACATGAGAAGAAGCTTGGTGAATAATAAAATTGACGAGAAGATTGCACTGGAAAGGTTTTTGTTCTGTTACCGGAACACACCCAATACTGCAACAGTTATTTCGCTTAGCGATGTTTCCATACTCGACAAGAACCACTTGGGATTTATTTAACCAACAAAAATAAGCGTCAATCCATTAGAGAAAGTTATATCGCCTGCGAGAACGATAGAGGTCGATTATAAAGTATGGTTTAAAACGTTCAAAGACAACAAATGGGGCAAAGGTGTGATCACGGACAGAGAAGGCAACTAGACTTACAGAATAAATGAAGGCGACACGAAAGTAAGAAGA